AGGAAAGTTGGATGAGATGGCCCTACAGTCTATTTACCAAYAGTTGGCATTACTGTACATTYATGACCTTAGCCAMGCCACAAGTAAYACTGGAAACTAYAATCTTTATTTAGAATCAAGTCARGGACAATGTTTTCTTCAATGACTRGGCTGCTTGCGTCGTGGATGTTTGAATGAGAGGGGATCTGGTGGAGRTGAAGTAGTTGCCGGCCTACTTCRTCTTTATCTGGTCTYTCCTTGGGCAAATATTCTAGGTGCAATTAATCCATTCACTGAAGAAAACATTTTCTTTAACTTGATTTTAAATTTACGATCTGGGGAAGATACACCAGGCATCGTCAAGAAAAATTGGTTTAATTTCAAGATYAACATGAGCTATATCAATGTGGATGGTATGTATGGATACTTCAATTATCTGGGTGTGGCATGGGATGGCTGCAAGGGGTGCAAGAAGACCATCTTCAACGAAGTCTATATGTCTTCATCTCTTTACTTTTTAGAAGTTTCATAGGGCAAGATAGGGATGTATTTAAAATATTGCTACAGTTCTCGTTGGAGAACTTGGAGCATGCCTCAGTTTTATTGCGTTTGGCATGGCACATTTAGGCATTATGCAGGCCAGCCTACAACGAAATGTTTTTATCCAAGCTGACCTTTTTTAAATTTGAGATCTGGAAAKACATTACCTGGTATGCTCTGGAAAAGCTGGATTATTTCATGATTGGATTTTGTGCAAAAGAAACAAAATGATTTAATTTACAACAGTGGATGGTAAGTATGCATGACCTGCTAGCTAGCTATGTATGATAACGTGGAGGAAACTATTTACAGAAAACAATTTTCACAGTGAGATAATGGCASATGTTGAGCTTAATGGAAGATTTTATGGATTTTTGTGTAGCTAGAAATGAGAAGTCAGAGAAAAGRTATGTATATCGAAAATAAACAGTGGAATAATGGTATGGACAAGCAAAGTGTTGCAGTAGAGTTGAGGTTAAATKGAACGTAYATCTTACAGCCTGATATTTCTTTTGATCCAATAATCTCAGACATTTCTTGGTCGGTTTGATAGTAATTTCATGTGTTCGATATCATGCAGGGAGTTCATATTACTGAGTTGTAATGACAATGGTAGCTTCAATTAGGTGTACATCGCAGCAATGTGGGATTAACACGTTCCCCGTTTTTTCCACTTGGAGTGGTTTTTAGGGGTTTCCGTGTCCGGCTGTGATGCAACAAACATCTCCAAGTCTTTAATCGATGAAATTTATGACTTATGGCTTCCTTTTCGTTGTTTAGCAACTAGGAGTTTTGCCTCGTAATTAGGGTGGTGGTGGCATTAGCTAGAGTGAGGTCTTCTTCCTATACCAAAACTCTTTGAATCGTTATCTTGTCGACATCTTTACTATTTCAAGGATACTGGGATGCGATGCTCTAGTTCTAATTCTTCCTGGCAATTTTAACTTGCCTTWATTATCTGGGTKTGGCATGGSATGGCTGTAAGGGGTGCAGGGAGGCCATCTTCTTCTATAGCATTTTATATGCTCCTTATCTYTTAGCTTTATTTACAAATCTCGTAGGGATAACCTGTGTATGGAGGTCCTCCTACTACGGAATAAGTTTTTCCAATCTCGGACTTTTTATTCTAGCGTGAATACGTTGAATCAGGGACCATCATTTATGTTGAAAGTAAATGATKSCCGWCATCTYTCTATCTTCTCCTGACGTCTGTGAYTTAMTTCTTCTTTAGAGRCAAAAGTCCCTCTGCTCTTTCTTAGATTGAAATGGCTAAATGTGTCGACGTAGCATTCAATTTTTGACAAGTTTACCCAACATATAAGTGGTACTTGCAAAATGCCTCTTACTGAGTACGATGACGGTCAACCCCACCACCAGATCTAGTTGGTGTAAACGAGCATACTTGACATATACTTTGTAGTTGTCAAGAGGACTGGGTGCGATTCCCAGATTGGATTATGTAAAGGGGATGTCCGTTAATCTGCTTAAAGTATTGATTTCGTCGTTGACTGAAGAGAGAAAAGCAGGCCCGTAGGCTGCCTTAGAAATGGGGGGTTCGTTTTTCCATAATGCGGACCTAAATTAAATGCTTAACTAAATTAGCTCAATGCACAGGATAGTGTTTAAGAAATGGCTGCTAGTATGAGCAGTTCATACAAATTACTATCACAAAAACAGTTCATAACAAAAGAATTTTAAAATAGAACAATATAAATAGAAACACCGGACCTTTTTAAGACACGGTCAAAAAATATTGATGAGAAATAGTTTCTTACTGCCAAGCGACGCCTTCGTTTCAAGACGGGCCAACGTTTCAAAAAGTTTTGGATGTACATATACAGGGTAACTGGTGCGCGCAGAAGCCCTCATGTACACAACGATGTACATGCAATGTGCCTATTTATTAATTCGGTTATATAAATATAATACCACAAACATTCAGGTTTATTCAAGTGAATTTAACTCATGGCTTCAAGGTTAGGGTCAAATATATCTGCATAGCGCTGGTTCGAATTCTAATGCTCTTCCTTAAAAAATGTCTTTTCAGTTTAAGTTTAAGGTCTTTAAGTCTTTGAAAATTTTCTAAGTTACATTAGTGACCCTGTATGTGTACATCCATATATGGAAACCGCACGACAGGTCCTTACGTAGCACGSAGTTGATGTAATGTATTCATAAAATGTATTGTATTGTATTGTTTCTCGTTCTATTGTATTATGTGTTTTGTATTRTATCTTTATGAATATATTACATCAACTGAGTGCTACGTAGGCTCTCCCACTCCTTCAAAAACTGCGAAGTCATGTTGAGTCGCTGTTTAAATCGGGCTTCCTGTGGTAGAGGAATCCTTCTCAAAACACCTCTGATATGGCTTCGAAAATAAGTATCCAAAAGCGAGTTGGCGAGCCACCCGAAATAGGTCAACAGCCGCCGCAGCTACAATACAGCGATAAATCACCAAGGGAGATTTACAACAAGTTCTGTTCGTGGATGTTCAACCCAGCAACGTTCCCTAAAGCTGAAGAAAAGCCAACTGCCATATCSGTGAAGACATCACGAGCGCTTTTTCTCAAAGAAGACGTCCCTSCAGCRCATGAAGACGCRTTCATGCCCAATGGAAGAGAGTTTGCACATCTGCACGAAGATGGGAGCTGTCATTTGGTGGTTAGTAGTGAACTAGAAGACGATATTATTGCAAATATGTGGGGTGTTCGTCACATGTACCACTCGCAAGGCGTTAAGGAAATCATTGTGTATGCACCAAGAGATGAGAATGAGTTGGCTTTTGTGGAAAAGGTAGTTGAAGCGTCTTATCATTATGCAAGTGGATTGTGAGGAAAAGAGTCAGAAAACGCCGAACTATATAAAGATACTCTTGGATACTCGAACATATACTCGAACATATACTCGAACAAATAACGTACTTTCTTTTGTTTACATACTCACGCTGCATCACGATAGGCCATAAGATATATAGTTATCACTTAGTAGTTTAGAACTCAAAGATATGGGCTGAAATACACATAAACCGATGAAATGTGACTCTTTTTTCTTTTTTGAAGTCTTCTAAGTAAAAATCTTCTAAGTACGTAAATTACGCCATTTCTTTTCCCCTCCCATGCCCAGCCCCCTCCTTAATAGGGATAACCGCTGGCCAAGTCCACATTTTAGGCGCGCACACAGGTATTCCAATAAGTTCGAAGGTGAACACAAGCGGTTGGCCTTAAACTGAAGATAAGCGAATAGGGGATGGGGAGAGTCTCGGAAATAGTCAAACCGATGATTTTTTTTTGGATTTTATCCAGGTTAAACAGGCAAAGCAAAAACACATTCTAAAACTCGGACTGAAAGCAAAATTTCGATCTCAAAACAAATATCAGGACTACTTGTAAATAAACTACTTGTGAAWTTCCCATCCCTTTTTTCTTGAAGTATGAATGCACGTCTCATCAGTTTATTTTGCTGGAAATTAGTCAAGACCTCTAACAACTTGTGATCATCAAGCGATGAAAGGAAGAAGGCAGTGTTAAAGGTGACTGAAAAACAATTGGCCAAAACGATAGCTAAACTCATCGGCTCGAGTTATGATCTTGAATTTACGAGTAAGAGTCTTTCAGGGAGGGAGGACGGATCAAGTGGGGGTTATGTTTCAAAGCACAGCCCGAAGAGTGGAAACATTTTCACGCTTTTCAGTCATAAAACAAGTGAATTGTATGTAGACGTTTATATTCTAAAGAGGGGTGGGGCTTGTTTCTTTGTTCCTGACAAGAGCGCCTTATTACCTTCATAAAACCTCAGAAGAAAWATCAAATTAGTGAAAAATGCAGGCCCTTAGGCTGTGTTATTTCGTTCGGTGTTAAGAACCCTTCAAATGATGCCTCACAGTGGACTCCTCAGCCACTCACTACACAATGCAAATGACTTCTGTTCGAGATTTTAGCAATAATTAAACCTGAAGTTTAGATTTGACGATTTTACAAACATTGACTGTCCCAGCGAATAMAGCTACGTGTGATTTGTGAACAGAAATAGAGCCAACAATACTCTGAACTAAAAGAGGAATTGTCGAATGGATTAAGACTTGACGGGCAATCTTATTTCATCGCTTTTCAAAGTTAAGGACGTCTTGTCCAATCACATCGCAGGTTGAGAAGCTTATAATTTTTTATGGCCACCCACGAGGCTCATGAATGACAAATATACATTTTTTTAGACAAAGAGGAGCTGGATCAATCTCTGCAAACACAGGGTTTACATCTACGAGGGTTTGGTTAATGGATTTGAAGCCTTCTTAGGGGTAGTTAATAAGTCTTAAAATAACTCTCTACAGGGCCCTCTTCTTCGACCAACACCAAGGGATCAAATTTCGACACACGAACRAACGAGCGCGCTGATTGGTCAAGCGAATGTAATTCTTGATCAAGTTACAAACCGGTGTCAAATATTCGAGCGATCGTTCCGAGGTATATATGTGGGCATCATCTTACAAAGGAAGGCATTTTGTATCGGCTAGTGTCACSGYTGACATAGACRGCTTGCAAAATGCCCTCTATCAGGACTGGAATGCTAGGATTTTTAGTTTACCTTGTGTTGATGTCAAGAGAAACTCTCAGTGAGGACAAAGATACTGTTGTGAATACCACAATTGACTGTATGACAGCCAAAAAGGACTGTGAGAACGACATGAAGTGCACATTTGCCATGTACAAGTTGTTTAAAAAAAATATGGCGTGCAGCAAGTCACTAGGCTACGACATTCAAGAAGGAATTACTGGAGCAGCCGACAAGGTTTGTCCGAAACATTGTGGAATATTGATCTATAACTTAACATCTCTCGACAAAGGGAAGAAACTGCAAACTTGTACGTGTGTGAATCGAGACTCGATWTGCTTAACTCTGAAGGCTAGACTAGCGAAGTGTATGGATACMGTCATTCACGGCGTGAGGAACGATACTAAACCGGGCTGTACAAAAATTCGCAAACAATGCTCATCAGACAAGGATTGTGAATCTGCCCAGCAATACTTCCTTAGAAAATGCAGCAGGCTTATCTCTGGCGTCGAGTGCTCGAGGGACTGCAAAAAAGCTCAGAAGATCYTGCTATCAAGCAAACTAGGCCGAGGCTTGGACGAGTGTGAATGCGATGGTTTCGAGGAGCCGCATTGCCGAGGGATAAGAGCGCATCAAAAGGCTTTATGCTTTGGAATCAGAGTWACGAAAAACGTAAACCCRCAATATAAACCAACACAAAACGTAGGAAACGCACGATCTGTAGGAACTGGAAGCGCGAGTCACTCATGGCTATTCATGGSCTTACCGATTGCTACCCGACTGTTCTTTTGACATTGAAAGGACATGACACTTTTATTTATAATATTTGGTATTTCCTCAAGCATTTCGTCGATTTTTTTTTAATTTCTGATGCTCTGATTTAGATGAATACTCTATATTCACCGAAAGAACATACGTATTTTATGCGTTTAGGAAGTTGAAAGGCGATTTACATAAACACTAGTTGTACATACGATTGTATTCATGTTCATGTAATTATCAAAGACAATGCATTGTACAWATAACTATCTTCTATTTGCTCCCGTTGTTTAGCTATACTTAGCGCCGGCTCACCTTTAAACAATAGACTCAAAGCTTTTTAATTACAAGTGAGTAAACCACTGTTTCGGAATTCCGTCGATGAATTTAATATATTGTTATGCCGGTTCGACTGAGGTCAGATACTATCACAGATCTTATGTTGACAAATGTCGAAGCTAAGCTTCATGAATTTGTGTTCATTTTGATGTTTTTCACAGATAATTGTAGTTTAAAATCAACACAATTTTTTTAATTAACAATCTGGGATTAGCCAGACTCTGTGCTCGAAGCAGAAGGGAAGAGACCTAACCAACCTTTCGAGCAATATTTCTGGAAAATTTTCTTTCCTTATGTTTCGCACACCCTTTGCATCTTTGCAAAACAAAGCGTTCAAACTAAAAAGTTGGAATGTGGTTCAGTTTCATTCTCTTATAACTTACATCTATACAAACTTAATGATTGTACATTATTCTTAAAATGTGTGAATACAAAAAATCCAAAATAAAACCTTGAAAATATTTAATATTGTGTACGGCTGGTTAGTTTGAATGGTAAAAAGATACATTTTCAGAACTGTTGACTGTCATAACGAAACATTTCACCTATGGAGATATGCGCGCCATCTTGCACACATCGTATGTACAGAAAAATGTCTCCTCGCTCCTCTTTCCCAAGATGTTAACTTAATTCCTCTATTTGCCTGGACTAATAATGGCTAAGGTGACTTTTAATTGCCACTTGGAGTTGTATACTTAGTCAAGAGCAGAGATGTTATCGGCAAAAGTTTGCATTCAAACGGCTTATAGTATTGCTTCCTTGATTAACTAGAACACCTCAGAATGCACGGTTTGCGCGTCGTTATTGTTATTTGCTTATTTCCTCGCGTGGTCGGCACTTTGAGGAAACGTTTTCATTGTTCTAGTAGCCCTATACAATGTTTATGTTTTGGTTGACCGCGAAGTTAATAAAATCTCTTTATTACGTGCTATTTGCTGGGGTAATTAAATCCAGATATTGAAAGAACACGTTGTAAAGCTTATAGCTTGCTGAGAAAATGTCTTGGGCCGACGACAGAACATAACAAGAACATTGCGGTAAACGATGCTGTTCAGCTCGCGATTTGAAAGCGTTTCGCCGCAAAGATCTAGCCAGCAGAGCGTAAACTATTCAAGTCAACGTTTGATTAAACTTTGAACTTCAAACAAGCTAAACATGGAAAGATATCTCTATTTGAGATTTACAGTAAACAAAAGATTTAGAAAATGTAAGCCATCTATCAAGCAAGTCGCACGTTGTTGACTCCTAATAAAAATAATGACTGKAAAAAATTCCACGCACGATAATAAGCCGATCCTGAAGACAACTGAATCGCTCTCACATGGTCTTCGCATCAAAAACTGTTTAACAACATCAAACGTAAAACAATATTCGATCTCCTACTGAACAGAGCGCTTAATTACTACAGGAGATCGCGCTCCCCGGCGGAGAGTAATCTCCATTCCGCGTTGAGCAATCACTTTTCAAAGGCAACCTTCAGAGCTTTATGAGKGCCTTCAATTTAGAACTTTCTGAGKTCGGTAAAACAACATAATCTAATTATCTAACGAGGTAATTGTCGTCGGTAGCGCGTTGGCACAAGAGTTCTGTTTTGAAGGTTTTTAAGYAATGAMGAARAAAGTGAGTGTATTTTTTTCGTAGGTAATTTGAACAAACTACAGGCAATAAATAGCTAATGCAGTTATGTGCACTGCAGGGGATAGGTCCAGATCYGGTTAAATATTCCATCTTTTTATAGTATGGTTCTCTCGTTACAATTCTGTTTCGGTCGCGTTCTTCGACGACTTTGACCGTTGTCGCTCTGGGGTTCGTAATAGCARTTTACTATGTTTATTTGTCGTTATTAAAATTATTAATTTTCTTCTAATTATCATCCTTATCATTATCAATATAATTATGATTATATTCTGATGTTCTGAGGTGAGGCAAGATGTTCGGTGAAAATTTTTCGATGAAAATCATCATGATTATCATTCAATATGATGGTTTCGATCGATTTAAAATATTTGCCAGTCTGTTATGCTATCGAATTTGTTGACCATCTACTCGTTATCATCTCAGTTATTACTATTACCATCATTATTATTAACATCATCATCACTGCTTGTCATCGTTATCATCAGAATTAATCATTATTTCGACTTGTTATCAAAATAATCTTAATTGATAACATCATTATYATTATCATTATCAGYATCATCATTACTTTTATTTATCAAAAACTCTTACTTATTTTAAGTGGGAAGTGTGCTTTGTCTACTGTAAAGAAAATTGGCAGTTGCATTGCCCTAAAACAAACAGTGCAAGTAATTACAGCAACCAATGTTAATAATGTTAATACATCTAGAAAGATTGCCCTCGCTATATCAGTTTGCTATCAGCAAGAATAGTACGTAGCAAGTTTGATTTGATATTTGAACGTGTGTAATAGCGAAATAAAACACTGAAATTAGAAATTATGATCTAACATTTCACGGGTTTGTGGTCTTCGGTCTATACGGTGGTATAATTACGCCTCTCTGTACTACTCCAGAAGATGTCAATAAAGAAATGGAATAAATCATTTGATTAGGATCGTGATAAATTTGAAAGACAGGCAGGCGTTTGGGCAAATATAACCAAGCAATTTGAAAGTCGTTAAGGGCAAATTGCTCCAGGCCATCAAAWAGAAAACCGATCGTATCTCGCTATTAAATCCTTATAACATCYACTCTAGTCTTATGTATATAATTCCCTCTAATTTAATCCTCTGAAGTGTCATTGGAGCTGCTCTTTAAGCAAAGAACTGACTTCTTTGACCATTTGAGGGTTAATGTTGAGGATAAATTCCATTCGTGCTGCACTACTTTCGATATGTCAGCAACTTAGAACGAAAAACAAATATTTCACCATTAGAACTAGCAGTGGTTTTGACCCGTTGTGGCTTGGCTTCCGGTTAACACTCATACTGGCTCAGGCATGCAGCAAAAAGCTTTTTCAAGACAAAATAATGTMTTTCTCAGCCACTCTTTGATCGTTTCTTACTCGTTGTAAAACTCCAGGGGTTGAATTAAATATACAAATATGGTAATATTACTTTTTTAGAAAGTTGATTGAATCAAAGCGACATTTTTTTTGTAAAGCTTTTTGTGATATGCTGTGGAGAGTACAAAATGCCATTATTAGTTGAAAGATTAGTATATTTATCCCATTTTTAAAAAAAATCTAGCAATCGCCAGAATCGCATACCTTATGAAACAAGAAATGGTTTTGCAAGCTTTGATTTTAATAATTGTACAGAACCAAATTTCCTCAGAGGATCGAGTATTGGATTTATCGGTAACGAGGACGTAATTTTCTTGATACATTTGCAAACAATTGATCGAGCGCAATATCAGATGTACAAAATGTCTACCAAATTACTCAGGGTTACGATTTGAAAAGCTCTAAGCCACGACAGCTGGAACAGGCGAATTTTGCACATTAGTAAGGAAGGAAAGATTATCTAAACGATTTATGACTCAAAGTCCTAAAATATGGAGTAAACCGAGAGAAAAACTACCATTAATTGAGTTTAATTGTAGGATTAGATGTTGAGGATTATCATGAATGCATTGAACATTAGGTTTCACGCCAAAAGTAATGGCTTAAACATGTGCTTATTGCAATAAGCTTGGAGTTTCACCGGGACGTTTAACTAAAAATTAAATCTGTCCTGGTTTCTACTTATCGTAACGAACGGAACTGGTCATGCTGGGTGTCGAAAAGAGATATTTAACTTTGTACATTTAAGAGAGCAAGCTGAATTTTTTTTATGAAGTCGGCACGCACATACGTTTACTGAACAGAATTAACTTTCTGCACATCTGTATTCAAAAAACCTAGCTTAAATAACGATAAGATAGCTTAAAACCAAACTTTTTGGCTAATTTTTTTAGGGTTTTTTCAAGTTCTGATGTTTTAAGCTTCATGACTTGTATTGACGGAAATGGCGGGAAACTTGTTGACGCGCGCGTCCTACCAAAACAAAGCACTAWAGTTTCCTGTCCAGTCCAAACCAGACATAATAATTTATCATTCGAGACCACATAAAAAAAAAGAAAAGAAAATAGTTTCTAGAAAGATATTTGATTATTTGAGACGAATGTATGCACACGGTTAACAATGAGCTTGGGACTCGATGTTTTGGTATTTTTCATTTTGAAAGTAGAAATCTAATAGAACAAGTTTTTTTCAAAGCGTTAAGCTTCTATATTTATTGGTGAGACTTCTTTATCGTTTARATTTAAGTAAACAGACCAGTCAAGTTATTTTAACTTTTTTATTAGGTGCAGTGACTACAGCAGATACCCTCAGTTTATCACAGTGAATCAGTGAATCAGTGCTAGGCACGTCGTTTTACCGTAGCTTAACTAGCTTTTCACCTGGTATCGACTATTACCTATCAATCCATGGGATTATTAAATTTTTCATTCATTAAATCAATCTTTTCATTATCCTTGTTTACATTGCGAACGCCCATTTTACAGTAGTGAAAAGTAAAAAAATCAAAAGGTCAATCAAGTCCGAAGAGATCGCAGACAGACCTGTTTTATTTTTGCTGCCTGTCCTAGATTTCATCGMAGATTGTTTCTTTCTAGAATTATTTTATCGGCTGTTAGATTAGAAGCGAATTATCTTTATTGGTCTCCTCTGTCATCACTATTGGATTGAAGTACAAAYGGGGTGTGGACTTAGGTGAAGTTATCCACCGGTTAAAGAGTATCACTTCTTAGATTTTTTATTGATTTTAACCCCTGAATAAGTATTTATCCGATAGAAAGTGCTATTCAACCTTCGTAGAACSGGCTCTAGTTCTATATTCTAGAATTGTATTCCTTTTAACACGAATTTTTGATATTTGAGGGATGAAAGATGCAGTCATTTACAAAAAGTCTGACCGCTAACATATATCGCTATATCAGGTGTATCATGGGAATTTCAAACGATATTCGYTKCTAGTTCTCGCTAAGACTGCAAATCACCCAAACTCTTTGGRATTATGCTTATCTTAGTGCAGTTTGATGGGAAATTAAAGAACATTTCAAATATTAGCAACACTAAATATCGATATATTTGTGTGCATTAGGGGGCAGAATTTCTTTAAAGGACTGTATCTAGCGCATATTTAGCACATTACGTAAATGACTTAATCTCTAATATATAAAYATTAATGATAATAAAGATAGTAATAATAATTAATTATCATCATATGACATGAACCTATATATTAAAAATGATTTTCTTCATTTTTCTCAGTCTAGAAATGGATTTCCGCGACAGCTGTGCGTCGAAGACTTAATAAACTTATGCCTTTCATCGTCAGACAAATGAATATTAATAATTTTTTTTCATATTCACTTCGAGAGATAGGCAATCCATACATACAGACGCTCTAGTAATGTTGATCTTTCTATCACACCGGAAAATAAGCAAGGTACGGCACRGCGCCCCGGCTTGCACCATCATGTAGTGCCTTTGGAAAACCTTCTCCATCAATTAAAAAATCGATGTGTTTTTTTGTTCTCGTATTTCTCAAATGACAACGAAAATGCTAGGAAGTCATTTCTGCGTGGGCATGTTGATAGCAGACAACACATCCAGGCGTTGTCAAGCTCTGGTGATAGCTCTAGAAAAACCAAGATAATGACACAAGATAACATACACATTTCGACACTTTAAAACCTCCTAGTGCCATAAAACGTTCAAAAAAGCATAACTCCAAGATTTAAATTCGACAGCACAACAGTTCGCCTATTATAAAGCAACACATTGTTGCCACTTTGGATAATTTGACGATGATTCCCACCTTTCAACAGCGATTTGTTAAGTACTGTTGACTTGAAGGATTTTGGCAACAAACCAGTTGTGATTTTTATACTGTTAACGCGATAAAATCATACTTAAAACAAATTAACAATCTAATATTGACATGAAGGGCATGAAATGTTTCCAAATGATTGTTAAAAAGTGTCTTATCTTGGCGATTTACCCAAAAAACATGRGAATGTCAAGCCTGAATGTCTTGCTCTTCTGACAATCAGGTGAGGAAATCTTTATGATTATAAACTTAATTTCAAAACCGAATTTATGTTATAAATTAAAATCTGGTATTGTTCATTACTACTCCTTATTTTCCTCTCAAAGTACGACTATTTTGAACTGCTGTTGTAGTTGCTGTTGTCAAAACGAACATTAGAGTGAGATACACTTCCAGTGAACTAGACTTTTCAATACTCATTATTGTGCACGCTCTTCTTTGTATTTTCAGAGTATTAAAMAMCATTTMACTCTGATTATTACATWTTGTTTCACGGTTTTATGAAAATCAATCTTACAATGCATAGCATATTAAGAAATCTTATCATTACTGAAGTTTCTAGCAAGATGAACAAATGAACAATATACCCAACTCAAAGGAATCACGGTGAAGTTACTTAAAAAGCCCCTCAATCAACTAACAGCAGGCGAACTACTGATAATTGTTCGTATATCTCAGTCTAACCCTAAAATAATTGGACGGAATGCGGCAAATTTATCAGATGTTAACGCTATGTAAAGCAGTGAAGTAAAACAATGAATTATAGAGATGGTCTAGGCTGAGGTTGCATGGAACTTGAAAAGCAGTGAAGTAAAACAATTAATTATAGAGATGGTCTAGGCTGAGGTTGCATGGAGCTTGAAAAGCAGTGAAGTAAAACAATTAATTATAGAGATGGTCTAGGCTGAGGTTGCATGGAGCTTAAAAAGCACAACTACTTGAAACAGATAGAATAATAATAACAAAATCGAAACTGGAGAAAACAAAACTGCTCGGCTTAGACTCTCCTTTATTTATATTTGATTTTATATCTTTTTAAAGATATTTGGAGCTTTTAGGAGTAGATACAACAGCAATTTTAATAGTGAACTTTAGCTTCAAGATTCATCCTACTTTCTAGGGTATTTACATTTTAATTTTTATTTAGATTTTAATTCAAGTACCAGACGATACTTCGGAGCTATCATCACTAACTCAACCCCTGTACTTCCCTTGGTTGATTCATCTTTCGTCACTTCGTTTTTCATAGCATATTCCCACGTCCTCACTGTATCACACAACCTGAAAGACATCAAATAACGACTCTTTGAAATTACTTCGCAAATGGCAAGYTTATACAGAAAGGAAGTATCTATGAAGTTACTTAGAAAGTGGTAATCTTGCGCACAAAAGAGAGTCTCTTTGACATTACTTTGCAGCAGGCACTTTGTAAAAGGCAAGCTTGTTACTTATAAGTAATTACTTAAAAATATCGTACTTATAAGGTTGCTAAATCGTGTCTCTAGAGTATTAGTTTGTTATTCTGCTATAATCATCATTATTTTTACTGGAATTACCACGGAAAGTACAAAACGAAATAACCAACTCTATTAACCACCCAAAACCAACCGACCAAATAAACCCCGAACCAACCATGAAACCAACCAACCAACCAACCAAATATACACAGTACCAACCTATAATCCCCTAAACCAACTATCGGACAAACCCAAGCATCAACCAAGCAACCAACCAAATCAATACAGTACCAACTTGTAATCACCTGAACCAACCAACTAACCGACAAACCCATGCATTAACCAAGAAAACAAAGCATTCAAACCAACCATCAAACTTTCCACAATTAGCCATGTTAATACCCTGCGAGCAGAGTGTATTTCCTTACCTCAATAAAAATTTATTGAGGTAAGGAAATACACTCTGCTCGCAGGGTACCATGTTAACAAACTAACCAGACAAACTACCAAAAACAACTGATACAAGATAATTCGAAATACAACTAGGCTATATGCACTGGCCGCATGACACACATTTAAAGCCTGGAAGCTTGATATACACTATCAAATATGCTTTAGTTTTAATAAAAACTTAGTTCAAAATGCCAAAATATACAATATAAACTGTGCTGTATAAAGGAACAGGGATACTACACCTTTCACATGGGAATAGCACTTAGTCAAACAAATCTCAACTTATCGTTATAAAAAATAATAAATACTAAGTAAATTGATAAATTGTGGATTTAGAAAAGGATCATAAGAGACTTATCCTTGAGGCTTGGCACTTGGAAAGGGACARCCATTCAGGAAACTACAGAATAGACGGACATTTCTGATATTTGTCAAACATTATTTGCACGCATATAAATTCTAGAACCGCGCGAGCTTTGTTTTTAATTTGTACAATTTTCACATCGCGTGTCTACAACAACAGTACTCTGTATAAACTACTGATGAACGTCCATGTTCGGACCGAAATGTCTAGTAARAATTTCACAGGCAAAGAGTTGYTAGTRTCTGTAGTTGAACACGTAAAAAACTCGTTAATACAAACTGTACGCCTATGTAACTTAGCTAAAATTAAACTACAAACCGTTTAATTACTAAGTGATAGCAAAAGAAACGATTTCCATCGTTTTTTGGGYAATACCCACAACACCACGACTTGAAATACCTATCCCAAGGTTAGTRAACGAAMTAAAGGCACTTAAAGCGATGCATGAGGTCAAGAATGGATTTTATATTTGAGTTGTATTTGAGTCGGTACGGATTACTGACGATATCGGCGAAAAATGTCAACCCCCTGGTCAACTGAGGGATACAATACATGGGATAGTTTTAAACGCGTTGCGGCTTGACACGGGAGTTTATTATATTTAACCGACAGCAATTAATTTACCCGCAATTATCGTTGCACGCTGAGCGCGGCTCATTTATGCGTCGCATTGATCAAGCTTGTTTACCTCGCTACACTGAACTGCAAAAAGGCCGATTTACATAGGATATTAGTGTTCATTAGTAAATCTCTTTGCTTGTAATTTGAGTATAGGAAGCTCAGGCTGAACGCGTAAGATTTGATATATATATATTACCATGACGATGTTGTGTTGTGTTGTGCTGTACGTTTGACGAGCATAAATTGCACGCTATAATTACTACTACTGTCGAAACCACAAATAAGGCAAGTTTGAAGCTGTGGTGAGTCGATACTTTGAATGTTTGATGCGCGCAAAAGGAATACTGTACGATAATATTTAGCCAAATAATGGCTATATATGTGCAGAATGGATGGCGAACGTTTCAGTGCGCGCCATGGCTATAGGTAGAGTGTGCGCAATGACAAATATCGTCTTGATAATCAACTGGTACTGACTTTAGAGTTGCTTTGAAGCGCATTTATTCTATATCCCTGMAAATTCACACCAATTAATCAACATAAAGTAATGACTTTGTACGAATTTGGTCAATAATTTTAACCACACCATTTCAAGGTTACAGCGAGTACACTCTTAAGGAATACAAGTCGTGCAGCACTGTTGACTAACGGAGCTTTTACACCCAACATCAAAGGTTATACTGTTTAAAGCGTCCTTTACGATAGCTGACATGATTTTTGTAGGTCCGTCTATCGTGCGGGCGATCTTTTGGAAACCAGTGTAAGTTTTACGTTAACGTTATTTGTTTTGTTTGTTTGACGCACACAATCTGTACTTCAACAGCAAAAACACGGCCATCGATGGATATCCAATCTAAAGTAGGGGAAGTATTGAGTTTTAGGCTTGATATATCTATATTCAGTGTACATAGAGTGGATACAGTAAGAGCGTGAAAAAGAAGTAGCTAAATAGTGCTAAATAGTGCAATAAAGTGTAGATTAGACGATAGAAAATGAAATGAGATACTAGAAGTAGTTCTAATTTGTACTAAAAGTGGACCTGAAGCAAGACAGTATTGAATGCTTCATTTGCATCAATTCAATTTAATTTGCGTATCGCATGCACGATCTTACTAAATACAACTAAATAGAACTATTTAATTTGTACAGTTGCACGGATAAAGTGCGATCACTCTATTGAATGCTTCATTTGTCAGTTTGTATCAATTCAATTTAATTTGTGTACCGCATGCACGATTTACTACATACAACTAAATAGCACTATTTAGTTTGTACAGTTTGCACGGTTTAAGTGCGATCTCTCTAGATCTGGCAAAAAGTGGGTTACAATGGCACACTATTACGCGCCCTAACAAACAAAATCTGACTAGTCAAATAGACACGAATGAAAACGTACTAAGTTGTGCTAGCTTTGACAGCGTGTTTTTCAGATAACCTGTGAAATGCACTTCAGCGTTCTACACCTATTTACTCCTTTTTTGTATTGATATTTCTTATTTTTTACGGAGTGGTTTATGAAAACAACTGGTACCATTCTATCTCACGAGTTTTGCCTTTAAGATTCGTCATACGTTAAGTCAAATATTTATCCAATTTTTTGTTAATGTTATCTGTTATGTTTTTGCCATTTATTCAAAAGCTTGCCGTTTACAAGCAAAAAAAAACATTCATTAAAAAACCTTTATTTACAACAAACCAATAGTATAAATACATTAAAATATATTAGAATGAATCTACAATAAAAATCTAAAATTAATTAAGACTGATTTGCTAGATTAATGTTTCAATCAAAATCCAATAAAAAGTCATTGTTCTGGTCATAGTTTAACTATGTTCTGGTAAAAAGCGACTCGTGAAAACACATCCATAATGATGCTCTAGAGATAAACGCGATTCTTGATTTTACCAAATTGGTACGAAAGCCTTTCATTCCATTATTTACCAAAGCTGAGTTCGATCTCCTTGATTTATTTGAGTGGATAATTTTCCTCCTGTTTTCGTGATAAGTCTGAATGTCAAACAATCTAAAAATATAGCTGTAAACAGTTTTCAGAAGTCGTCATTTTAATTTTTTCGTCAAAGTATAGTTAGTAGAAAAAAAAAATTAAACTGGATGTCGAAAGCTTATTAGTTAAAAATCGAAAAGAAATATCAATAAATAATGTCAAATAACAAAAATACATAAAAATTTAAAAGGAGAAAAAGCGCCAGGAATTGATTCTTTCCAAAAGAAACCATTTAAATGAAGGAAAGCACTAGATTGGCTTCCAAAAACCAATGTGTGAGACAARCAGTGAGACTTTTACGAAAATGTCGAACTATGTCGGCTTTGAATTTGAGACAAGACAAATAGATTCAAAATAAAGGCACCTTGAAGTGCTAAAAGTAAATCTCATGAGATGTACATGCAATGATAACTTAAAAACATGAATTGAACAAGAAAAACAAACAAACAAACAAACGGGTAAATTAGAAAAAAAAAATTAAAAAAGATCAAAAAATTAGTAAAGATGAATGTAAAAGCACAAATGAACATCGACGAAACAATTAAATTAATGGAGACAATTAAACCACTAATTGAATATAAAAACAGCAAAGTACATGACAACAATTACAAAAATAAATAAATAAATAATGAAAAAAATGACAACAAAATAGCGCGCACAATGCAAAACTAGCAATGACAAAAAACTAGAACATTCAGTCAATATACGCGAAAATCATAACGATATTTCGCAAAGTAAAACCTTAAAAAAGCCTTAAATCAGAAATAAAATGAATATACACATGATAACAACCACTTACGACTCACAAAACTCAAGTATTTTTCTTAAAAAAGCCTTGTTTTTCAGATGAATTGGAAATTTCCTGACACTCATTCAGGGTTCAACCCACAAAATTTGGTTTCCGGCCGTAAGTCAAACTAACACCAAGCCATCAGCAGCTTCTGATGAATCGCCAACACGTTTCAAAGTACATCATAACAATAACATAATGATAAATCACTTTTTAGTATTTTCCAGCCCCCTAGGGCCATGAATCAGTGCTTTTAGCCGTTCTGTAAAAGTCATTATAAATGAATTATGCTTTATTGTGAAATACTTCACATTTTGTCGAGAAGAGTCCACGCTAGGGCCCAGCAGCGAGATGACAAGGCTCGATTTCAACGTTTCATCTCTCTTGATAGCTATGGGGTATTTATAGCAGGTAAAGTACTTTGTACTAAGCCAAGGATCARGTTTAACGTATTTTGGGTTTTTGTAATGGGATATGGGATGGTTTGCATTGCGTTGGTTGGTTGGATGGGACTGAGACGCATGAAACGATCACTTCACACGASCGAATTCGAGCCAAATAAGGTGGAATAGCCCGAGGTTATAGTCCTTTGACGTCACAATTGTCAGCTAAGTGACGTAAGGAAGGTTGAAAATATGGGTTTTAATTCTTGCAAGAGCTTACAAGTAGCGCAAGAGAAACAAGAAATGAATAAACAAAGAAGCGACAAATAAAACACTAACAAAAATAAGAAAAACAAAACAAAAAACAAAAAAATGAGAAATAAACAAGGGAATGAAAATAAAAAAAGAGAGAGACAGATGACCAAATGAGCACCTTAAAATCGAAAAGTCGCAAAAAGCAAACGACCAAGAAAATTGAAGCTGTTTAACACCGGCATTTCCTATCATTTACCATAGTATGTTATGGAAATTATCCTCAAGGAAATATACCTTTGCTCAACAATATGTACAGTATCCTAGAATTAGGAAAACCACAAGCAYCGACTGGATAGGAAACGGATGTTACGCACACAATAACAATGACCTCTCACAGGAAATGGGAAAAAGGAATTGATTTAATTAGGTTAGAAGATCAAGAAATCACCTTAACGCACCGACAAAGGGAAAAGAGTGTGGTTACTTACTTTTAATCGCTTTGGAAAATATGATATAAAAAAGAAATACATGCCGTGCGCGTCGCATGCACAAACTTATCATTTTCGTATCCAAGGCAACTGAGTTTACCCTCACGACGGAGGTGGTTTGGGTACGAGAATGATGCAATAGAATGCGGTGCAGTGCCGAAATGCAATATGGGAAGTACGTTAATTAGCTGCATCAATGTACGAGCATTGACATGTCCATACTAACTGATCAACCATGTGATGTCATCATCTAGCTCACATTCCCCTGCCCCTGCACCTGCCCCTGAGGATTTCGGGATCCGATTCATGTTTCCATTCACATTGCATAAGATTATTCTAAAACTGTTGCATACATATACAGCCTTCGCGAGTATTACGTAGAACACGAATTGCCCAGCTGAAATCAAAGTTACAACACAAAGGACGATTTCACAATGCAACTCTAACCTGCATCAAACGTAAAACACGAATTACGTTGCGAAAACCAAACCCTTAAAACTACACAAAGGACGCTATACGTTAGCGGGCGTTATACGTAAAAAACAAATAAATTACTTTGTGAAAATCAAACCTACAACTCATTAACATTGTACAACATGTACACAACATGATATGAAGGTTGTTCGACCTTGCACACATCACCTTTCCACACTTCGTTGTCACCTCTCCCAATAACAAAATAGCAGACAACTCCCCATAAAAAAATAACAAACTCGCGAAACAAGTAAAATACGGTGTGGAAAACGGAGCTGTAAGTCCTCGTTACGCGTGCATTCAAAATGCGACAAAAAAAATCCAATCGTAAGTTAATCACATATCACTTACTACGAGAAGAATCGTCCTCTTGTTGCTGTTCAACCAGTGCTTGTCTTTGACTCAGCTACAAGAAAAAATCATCATATCATCTGTATGAAATATTGATAGATTTCTTATATAAATGTAGATTAAGGGCCTGTACTCAATTAATCGATTAAACTATTAAGTAACAAAAACTATACCATGATTAATGATGTGTCTGGTGAGAGAGGACAAGAGATGAGTGACGGCCACTCCTGCTCGCGACGACTCGCGTAACCGACCATATCTTAAGTAGGCGACCACAGCTAATGTAAACTGGGCAAACACCTTACGTAAACGACCATAGACCATGCATAAACGACCAATGTTACAAAACGAAAACGAAAATATTCAACTCATTCAAGTACAGTCAACGTAAATTAGAGCGGATTTCGTATGAGTGGGAAACGGACGGTACTGTACTGTGACCGTAATCGTACTGTAACCAAATTCTAGTGCCCCATTGGTTCACCAAAATTGTGCAGGCCAGGTCTGGTAACTGTGCGGTAACCGTGCGGTAACGGTGTCCCACTCATACGAAATCCGCTCTAAAAGAATACGGCGTAAGGCAACGCACGACGAAAGCTCTTGTAAACGACCACACCCAGGCAAACGACCGCACATTGCGTAAACGTCTACTGTTCATATAAAGAACCATACCCCACGTAAACACAGCGAGTGAAAAGTGAAAAGCTACTACTTGCATATACGACCGCAAATAAGCGTACAGAAGGGGCTGGGAAGTGTGTGGAGGAGTAGTGGGGGGGGTTGGTTTGTGGAAAGTGAAAGTTTATGGATGAATAAGGAATATTCTACCTTTAGRTATGCTTTGAGTTCCTCTGCTCTTTTCATGTACCTATCGACCTAGTGATCATATACATATCATGACTATTTCAATCGAAGACAGACAGACAGATAGCTTAGTGGATGTTGACTTTTTACCTCGGTCCGTAAAGTGTCCTTGAAAGTACCTTTTGGCATACCTGAAAACAAAGAATAAACATATCTAAATAACCGTTGTGTAAAAATATGAATTTAATACCGTTAAAAAGTAGGCAAAATAACTTACTGACGTTTCGGACGTTAATCCATTAACTTATAATTTCACCTACTTTTTTACGGTGTTAAATTTATCTTTTTACACAACTGTTTCTTTAGAAACACCGACGCAGCTCACACTAGTTCCCACCATATCTAAATAACTATCCCTAAACGATAATTAATAAGTGATAAAAGCTACGACTGTGTAAAATAGATTTTTTAACTGGATTGTAATCTTTACATGACGTGGTTCACTCTTACCTGACAGCAACGGCAGTAGATTTTCTAATGCTACTTGATACTGTTCCAGAGCACCACGATAATTACCATGTTCATCCTAGAAAATAGATTAGTAGGTAGACATCTCATATCATAGTCACCACTTTACATTTTAGTAAGGTAAGAATTGTGGATGTGGAAATGGGAAATTGAAATGCAACCTTGTCTAAGGCCCTTACCTTTCAATTGGGGTCAATACAAAGGAYTGGAATGTTATTGTGCAACCATATTATCCCAATCTTGATTGTGGTTAATTTTAATATTTAATTTGAATCTTTATTGAAAAGGCATCGTCTCCTTCTCAATCATTCGTAAAATATTAAAAATCATAAACAACCATCAAAACTATAAGACGTACTCTGACTTCTGCAATTTCAGCAAGTTGAAGTGCATCTCTAAGTTGGGGATTATCTTTTGCAAATTTTCCTGTAAAAGCAAAAAATACATTGTAACATAGGTTTGTTTTGGGATTCCTGTGCCTTTTGGTGGAGAGCACAGGAAGCCCAAAATAAAACTCTGTCTGAAGCAGACTAGCAATACCTGCATATATCTTATAATTAGATAATGGCAGGTACTAAGCCTAACTTAAGTATACCCTACTATCAATGTACTGCATTTACAACTATTCCAGATCTCAATGTAAATTTATTGCAGATATGCAAAGTTAGTTATATCATAAGAGATATCTAAAGGCCGATTTAGACAGCCCAACTTTTTCCTACAACCATCGCATGAAACCTGCTTAAGTCATCCTTACAACATAGCTACAACTGTCGTAGGGTTATTAAGCAATTGTTTTAAATCCCTACGACAGTTGTAGCCATGTTGTAAGGACGACTTCCGCAGGTTGCATGCGATGGTTGTAAGCAAAAGTTGTGCCGTCTAAATCGGCCTTAAGATGCCTCTGCATTGAAATGGMAATATTATGGATACCTAGTATCTGGTCTGGAGTGCTGGTATAGTCTTTTCCTGGTACTCTCTGTGTAGAAGCCTTCAGGAGCTGTTTCAAGTCTTCAGCCCGACTCATGTATTCATTGACCTGTGTGAGAAGAATTTCGACTCACTTTAAATTAACTTTTAAGATTACACACACCAAAAACACTCAAATCAAATGTATTATGGGATATCTTACTCTTGTCCTTAGTGCTGCTTTTCTTTTTGGATCATTTTCATCTATATCATGAATAAAAAACACAACAATTATAAAGTATAAGAAAAATACATATCTAATACACATGAATAAGGATGGAGGAAAAGAATGAAAGGAAATAGAAGGGAATGGAAGAAAAACATTGCATACATTCTATAGCAGGTAAGAAGWACTCCATTGCCTCCGCATATGCTTGAGCAGCATCTTTGAACTGTTTATCATGGTCTAATTCAACAGCTTTTTTAACTAATGCTACCTGGGATGGAAAATTAAATCACAATTATTCAACTCTACACAAGCAGTCCCTTTTATTAAGTATTAGAACACAACAGTCAAACAAACCTAATATGATTATAAAAACACAGTCATACACATGCGAGACAAATAAACATATCACACATTGATCTGGGACAAGCAAGCAAGCAAGCAAAATGTACAGCCCTGCATAGCTCAGGGGCCACCACAAACACACGCCAGTAACTGCTGAAAATTATAGCATTTGGTCCATACAGTAAGATCTAGCAATCCATTTGCTGCCAACAATTGGCGACTATTGACACAGCACAAAAGCAATCTACTGGCAAGCAATCCAGCAATCCAGCAACCTAGAGCCCGATTTAGATGACACAACATTTGCCTACAACTATCGCATGCAACCTGTGTAAGTCATCCTTACAACATAACAACATAGCTACAACTGTTGTGGGGCTTAATCAATTGTTTTAAATTCCTAAGACAGTTGTAACCATGTTGTAAGGATGACCTATGCAGGATTCATGCAATGGTTGTAGGCAAAAGTTGTGCCGTCTAAATCGGCCTTAATGCAAGCCACTGCTTTGATTTTAACTCTGCAGGTCAAATTGCATTTATCCATCATTAAAACAGGTTAAAAATACACAACAAATAAACTAATACAACAATAATAACAAATAATAATAACAGCTTACAGCTTTATCGAGGCAAAGTGGTGATGGCATGTGCTCCATGTCAATAAAAGGATGCGAAAAGAAACCATCAAATGATAATCTTTGCTTGGGATCCCTTTGTAACAATGATAACAGAATGTCCTGGCAGTCTGGTGATACCTTCTTATGTGTAGGAAGCTGRTGAATAGCAAAAAAGAAAATTTTCTGAATGATCAAGGCCACTGGAGAACAACTGAATATCCAAAAGGTAAAAAATAGTGGTACTTATCCAATGTCTGGATTTTTATTTTTATTTTTACCTTAATTGCTTCAGAAGATCTTATCTTTTCTTCCAATTCTGAAAATGTTTTCGATTTGAATGGTGCTTCACCGAATAGAGTTTCTAAAAATGAATAACGGTTGTAGTAATGACATGGATCCGAAATAGAGCAAACGCAGAAAAACCATGAAATAAAATCAAACTAAATACTAAAACAAATAGCGGCTATTTAGAGACAGTTTGTCTGTATCAATGAACAAGAACGCAATGAAGATGAATCTACATGGGACCACTTTAAATTTATCTTCATTGTGTTCTGGTTCATTGATAATGACAATTTGCCTCTAAATAGCCGCTATTTGTTAGTATTTAGTTTGTTTTAATTCATGGTTTTCCTGCGTTTGCTCTATTACAGTTATACATGTAGCAAAGAGTAACTTTTGCTCACCCATACGATGATTAATAATGTACTTGTAAATATAGAAACCACATACCATACAAAATAACTCCAACTGACCATAAATCTACCGAAGCTTCATAGGAGTTGCTGCAGATCATTTCAGGCGCCTRAAAAAATAAATTAATAATATAAAATAAATATGTTGAATGTAATTAAACAAAACACCAGCTATAATAATTCTGTTTTATTGGACGCACTTCAGCCTATAGCTTCTTMAGCAAACTGAKTGTTTTRCATGTGCCACTCTCTATAAATCCTAACAACTAAGCAACMAACAAACGTACAAAAAAACAAAAACAAAGAAACTATGGAAACCTAACAGAAACCTATAGAATGCGCGTTCAGAAAAGCGWGSACAAAAYCTGCCAAATRCGCACGCTAAAGTCAAAAGCAAGCTCGGTAAAAGCAAAACAAGCATTCGCTATAAAAAAGCATGCGCCACACAAAATAAATAAATAAATATAAAGGACTTAATTACAACTTAGTTATAGTCACACAAAATATTTAGTCAACTGTCAATGCATACCATGTACAGAGGTGAACCTCTGATAGACACTGCCTGTGCATCGTCGTTAAGGTACTGTGCAAACCCAAAATCTAGTAGTAAGAAACATTAGAAACATCTACATTAGTGGGCTTCCTGTGTCAGCCAAGCAAACATGCGACTGACCTGCAATCTTTAGTACTGGATCATATCTTGATGACAASAGGAGATTCTGTGGTTTTAGGTCCATGTGTGCTATGTTGTGAGCATGTAAGAASGCCAAGGCACAAGCTGATAAACAAGGATTTTATTTTTTACAGTGCCGCCCAGAATTTTTTTAACAATGCAAACGCGTTTATAAAATTAGAAACACGTTCAAACAAATTCAAAAGCATTCAAACGCAAACACATCTTCATTATTATTGCTATCATCATCATCACTCACAATCATTACCATAATCAACATCAACATCAACATCATCATCATCATTATGGGCATCATCATCATTAGAATTATAAATATATTATTATTATTTGTGAATCAAACTTAAATAAACTTGTGTAAACTTAAATAAACTATTAATATTATCTAGTAATACCTAGCTGTCTTAGAAATTTCCTTGCAATCCATTCAGGCAATGTTCTCTTGGCTTGAATAAACCTAGACAAGTCTCCTCCACTACAGAACTCCATTATCAGAAAGATGTACTTGTCGTCCCACTGGAAGGACATCAAACACMATGGTAAATAGGTAAATGAACAAATGGTTGAATGAAATGARGAAAAAGGATRACTGACTGAGTGAGTGGATGTARGKTAGAGGGTCAATAAAGGAAATGGAGAGAGATTTGTTTGGTTTTCTGTTCAACATTGATCTGTGAGGATCAAGCAAGCAAACAACAAGCCGCATGGTCATGCAGCTCTGCACAGCTAGGGGCCACCCTAGTACCACCCTTCAGTAACTACTGATAAAGTATATGGTCTGGCAATCCATT